ATTAAAACAAGCTGTACAATCAGGTCAGATAAAGTGGATAGAAAAGTAAGACACTACAGCTGCTTCAAAAATATCTTTAAGGTCATTGTGATACTTGCACTATAGACGTAGGCTGTCTTCATAAATTTTGGAGTCGCAGTAATGGATTTAGGAATTTATATAGACCATGTTATGACTCTGTATTTCAAATGAAGTATAAAGTATAAAGTGTAATAATGCACAAAGCTTAAATATTGGTAATCTATCGGCTCCTAGAAGGTGAACGCAGTCAGGTGGATTGCTGTTAGATTGACTGGATCTCATATCACTTCAAACTTGCAGTTATCTAAGAATCCATAGTCTAAATACCTTTTGGTGCTATGTTTATGCAAAAAGCATAGATTGAAATAGTGGTTTTAGAACAATTGAGGGTCATGGCGGAGGAATCTCAGCAGGCTATTCTAACATTTGTATAGCACCACCATGACCACCAACCACAAAGGACATTCATTTGTGGTTCATATAATAATTATAACTCAAATTCATACAACTAAAATCTGAATTGTCTTCAAAGGCATTTTCTGTGCACTGTGAATGATTGCTTGAAACACCAACATTTTCCTTTTTATTGGAACACTAGAATTTCATTTCCATTAGATAGCTTGAACTCAATTATATTGCACACTTACTTGCAGGCAATCTCAATTTTTTGGTATGCGCGTTTACATCTTTGTGCTCACTGAAACGCGATGTTGGGTTATTATAAGGAACGTTATTGCCGTTGTATGTTAAAGGATCACAATCTACATACAAGCCCAGGTACTTATGCTTCTCCAAACGTCGAATGCAGAGGAAATTGCAGATCTATTGTCAAGATGCCAGACCAAATTATTTCTTTTTCCACCTAAGATATCACGAGCTCAATAAACATTTTTGTTTGATAATTATTTTATCTTCAACTTTTTGTTTCTATTTTAGGTAATTGGAAAAGGAAGATATGTGTTTCCACATCTGAACTGCCAGCAAACTGGAGAATACCTTGCCACGCCCCCCGTATGTTATAGAACCTATATATTTAACACCGATGAGTTTTTTAAATTCATATTTATGTGATATTATTTCATTATAGCAAAAAAACCGGCGAAAGAAAAGGCATTGGTTAATGATTGCAAAAAACGAAAATGAAACTGTGTTCATTGACATTGTTTCAATTCATTTTATCAAATAATATAACATAGTTTCAAATGATAGCACTTGTATTTTCTCTGCAATTACCATAATATTAGGAAAATTATATGCAGTCGTATCATTCTTTTACTCGAGTTTTCATTAGATGATAGGAAACTGAATGCTTCTAGCTAAGAAGCACGAACATAAATAACGATCAATATTTATATTATCTTTCCTTAGGCTATGGAAGAGAAAACTGCCGAAGACGCAGAAGGAAAACTAATTCCCAGATGGAAAGCAAATCAAATAGAAAGACTTA